ATTTTAACACTCCAAACATCGATTTTTTTCCATATATTGAGAAATATTTTTTGAAATTTCCTCTCAATTTTTGGACTCTGTTGCATTGGGGTAGAGGGGGGAAGATTTCGCATAAGTTACCCTTCAATGTGCTCGGGTTTATCCCGGGGAAAATTCATTTTTTCAAGTGACTACCCGCATTTTGAGAGTAGACCGGGTTTGAGGGGGAAGGGTTTGGGTTTGCAGCTGGGCGGTTTCTCCCTGTTAAGGGAAGGCCCCCTTGACTCATTTTTCCTGGGGGTAGCTGTGGCTTCTGGGGGAAGCTGACTCGCATTTGCGCCTTTTTGGGAACCCCACCCCAGGACAAAAGTCGCAGGCAGTCGCGAGCTGCGGGGAGCCCGATTTGCTACACCATTTACTTGTTTTTAACAAAGGGCGCTTATTCAAGTGCGAAACTATTTAATTAATTAAACTTCCCATGAACTCCATAATTTTTTTTTTTTTTTTATCAAAAACCGGGCCGATTCCCACCAAGGCAGGTGCCCAAAAAAAAACTTTCACCATCTTTCACTCCCCCCACTTTTCCAAAGGTGCTTACACTACAGTTTTTAAACTGCAACATTAACCCCCCCCTTTCGAGTGCGGGCACGTACTTCCCATCTCCAGAACTCAAGCCCGGGCCTGCCGGTTTCCCTAATCCCTTCTAAATTTACTTTCTCACCTCCACAGCACTCAAGTATTAAAAACCATTTGCCCCTCCTTCACTCCATAAAACACGCTCACCAGCCTGCTGGAAGTCCAAGCCCCCGCCACAAAACCCCCTTTTACCCCCCCCCCCAACCCTTCCTGGGCCAACCCCTACCCCCCTCCTTCACTACAGCGATACACTTTTGAAGCATTCTGTTTCGCCCATTCTCTCTACTGCCCGAACCACCTCAAAAACCCCTTTCCTCACCCCTGGACAACTTTTTTGTAATCCCGCACCCCTCCTAATTTCCCAAACTACAATTTCTCTCTTATTTCACACCACACTTCCCTCAAAATACATCCCCCACTGCCCCCCACCTTTCCCCCCCGCTGCCAACATTTACACCCACGCTTCACACCCAATAAGCGTTTGGGAAAAATATACTCTCAACATCCCCTCTTTTGCCTCCAAGGAAAAGTTCTTTTTTCTCCACAACCCTAATGCACCCCTCACCTTTTTTTTCCCCCTAATTTTATGATTCACCCATCTTTTATAACCCCTCCGCTGAACGTCCCCCCAAATTCGAATACGTTCACCTCCTCCAACTCCTCCCCCCAATCAAAAATTTTAATCTTTCACCCTAACTTTTTGTTTTCCTCATAACCTTACTCTTTCCCGTATTTACATTTTAAATTTTTTTCTTTTGCACACCCAAACCCAAATTTACCACCCAAACTCTGCAAAATTTTCTCAAATCTCCCAAAGCACAGTGTCATCACAAGAGCACTGTACAACTCCCACTTTGTGTGTGATTCTTTTTCTTTTAACTCCAACGCCTCTTGCCAAACCCTCGCATTTACTTTCTTACAACCCCCCATAAAAATATTAAAAAAACCACGGTGACATCACCATCCTTTTTTTTTTAAGGCCTACTTTTACTGGGAAAAAATTTCCCTCTTTCCACATACTCTAACTTTACCTCACATCCTCGTAAAAAACCTTCACGCTTTCAGTAACCTACCCCTCACCATACACTTGCAACATCTGCCAAAAATTTTTCCCCCCCCATCCACCCTGTCATACCCTTTTCCAAACCATAAATGCCACAAGACCTCTTTAGCCTTACTAAATACTGTTCACTTATATTTTCCTGTAAACACCTGGTCCCACACACCCCTACCTTTCCTAAACCACCTTGTACATCCTCTAACCTATTCTCCCGTCTTACCTTAATTCTTTCAATTACAACTCTACCATACACTTTACCAACACTCCACAGACTTATCCCCCTATAATTTTTTGCACTCTCCATTTATCCCTTTGCCTTTATACAAAGGAACTCTGCATGCTCTCGCCAATCCCTATGTACCTTTACCCTCTTCCATACATTTATTAAATAATAGCAACCACCACTCCAAAACTAAATCCCCCACACTGCTTTAACTTTACTATCTTATCCATCCCATCAATCCCCGGCTGCCTTACCCCCTTTCATTATTCCTACTGCCTCACAACTTCCCCCACACACACAAACTGCACTTCCTCAAATCCTACAAGATTTAATTCCTCCTTGCCCTAATACACGAAATCACAGCGTTCCCTATCTTCCATCAACATTTAACAATTCCTCAAATATTCCTCCATCATCCCCAATACCCTCTAACCTCTCCATTTAAAAACTCTCCTCTCCTATTTTAACTGACAAATCATTTAGTTTCTCTAGGCTTTTCTTAACTTGTTAATCTCACTCCAAACTTTTTCTATTTTCAACAAAATTTGTTGATAACATCCCCCACTCTCTCATTGCTCTCTTTTAACATTGCTTCAACCACTCTCTTAACCCTCTCTTTTTCTTCTCCATATACTCTTCCCCCTTGCATCACTTCTACGTTGTTAAAAACTTCACATATGCCTAACTTTTTCCTCCACCTTACTACTCTCATTTTACATCATCATTCCACCAATCGCTCCTCTCTCCCCTTCCTCCTGCAACACCACTTTCCTGTAACCACAAACTTCTCGCTGAACCTCAAAAACACTACATTTTTAAACCTACTACCCCATACATCTTCGACCACCCCATTGCCTATGCTCTCATACCCCTTTTCTATCCTCCAATAGCTGTTTATAACTTACCCTAACTGCCTCTCTTTTAGTTTATAACCTTCACCTCTCTCTTTCCTGATGCTTCTATTCTCTTGTATCCCACTACCTTACTCTCAGTGTAGCTACAACTAGAAAGTATCAGATATATCTGTGGCCCTCTATAAACAGGTACATCCCAGAGATCTACTCAATACAGTCTTTTATCTACCAATACAAATCCAACAAACTACTGTCATTTCGCTACATCATATCGGTAAACTTTATTTTATCCTCTTTTTCTTAAAATCTGTAATTACCTATAACTAAACCCCTTTCTAAACAAAGTTCAACAAAAGGCTCCCATTATCATTTACACCTGCACCCCAAACTTACCTACCACAACCCCTCTCTAAAATTTCTCCTACTTTAGCATTCAAGTCCCCTACCACAATTACACTCTCACTTGTTCAAAGGCTCCTATACATTCACTTAACATCTCCCAAATCTCTCTCTCATCCTCTGCTTCCTCTCTTCGCAGGTGCATACACGCTTATTAAGACCCACTTTCTCGCATCCAACCTTTACTTTAATCCACATAATTCTTGAATTTATACACATTCATATTCTCCTTTTCTCCTTCCATAACTGATCATTTAACATACTGCTACCCCACTGCCTTTGCTCAAACTCTCTCAATACTCCAGATTTAATCCCATTTATTTCCCCACCTCTGAAACTCACCTACCCCCTACATCAGCTTTGTTTTTCGCTTAGGGCCAGGCATCCAACTTCTTTTCATATACCATACAATCAACTGTTTCTTGTCATCCGCACACACCACGCGCATTTAAGCAACCCATTTTTATAAAGTTTTTCATCTTCTCTTTTTTAGAAATTGTATACAAGGAGAAAGGGTTACTAGCCCGTCATTGCTCCCGCATTTTAGTCGCCTCAACGACACGCATGGTTTAACGGAGGAAAGATTCTTTTCCACTTTCCCCATGACAATAGAAAAATAAAAAGAACAAGAGCTATTTAGAAAAAAGAGAAAAAACCTAATGTATGTATATATATATATCATGTGCGTGTCTGTGACGTGTGACCAAAGTGTAAAGTAGGAGTACAAGATATCCCTGTTATCTTCGCGTGTTTATGAGACAGAAAAAGAAACCAACAATCCTACCATCATGCAAAACATTTTTACAAGGTTTTTGTCTCACACATCCATCTGGCAGGACGGTAAGTAACTTCCCTGGTGGTTGCGTCTACCAACCTCTACAGTAATACCCCTGAAATTAATGATTACAGAACTTTGAAAATTTAACCTTAGAGGCTACTTATTTTAATCGTCAAAACAGAGAGAGTGAGAGAGATTAGGCTTCCATAACATTCAAAAAACTATTATGGTATTGTAGATAAATATTATGATAATGTACTGCCATTGACGCATAGTACTTTTAACCAGGAAAAAACATCAATATTAAGACGTAAAAGATTCATTAAAATAGTGACTATGCGACTAAGGAGGCACGGTAGACGGTGTATAATTCTTCCTCTTATCACAGTATTTCTCTGTTGCTAAGACAGTCAAATGGGTGACTGTTTAACGAACCTTAAACAGTGATTCCTTACTTAGATATTTATACTGCTTTTTATCGCCTTTCGTTTACTGGGTTGGTAAATTACAGTTATGTTAATTTTTATTGATAGGAGACAGTCTTGCCTACCTTAACCTAACCTAACTTTACCTCAAAAAACTAAATTGGGAATTTTGCTGCGCCAATCGTATGTGAGGAATCCACAAAGAATTTACGAGGATGTGTTGCTAATTAGAACACTGTAAAACACGGGTGAATGCATTAAGAGACTAATCAACTCCAAGAGGAATTTTTGGAGTGCTACAGAGTTTTTCTGACGAACCAGACCAGACCATGGTGACTGGTAATTAAACTGTGATGCATGCACTAATAGCCTGGTGAACCAAGCCATCAACCATGAAGCGGTTGATGGGAAGATAGATAGGAAGAAGAGCTTAAGGCACTAACATCACTAACAATTAGCCTTACGAACAACTACCCTCACTAACAGATAACCTTACTAACAATTAGACTCACTAATAACTAGCCTCACTAGCAAGTAGCTCACTAACAACTAGCTGCACTAGCAGCTAAGTTCACTAACCACTAATCTCACTAAAAACTAACCTCCCTAGCACCAGAGCTAATAATAGCCTCTCTAACAAGAGACACTAACTATTAACATGGCTAAGAAGAGAAAGGGACTGACCAACATGAAGTTGAGTGACGTGTTTGGAGCCTTTGATGGAAAGTTCGACGTACCTCAGCTTGCCTTCCACCAGCCACGGTGATCCCGTTCCTGCAACAGTAACACCTGTTAGTAGTCACCGATCATACAACAGTAACACCTGTTAGTAGTCACCGATCACACAGTAACACCTGTTCACCTCTTAGTAGTCACCAGTCATAAGAACACCTGTTAGTACTCACCAGTCACACAACAGTAACACTTGTAGGTAGTCACGAATCACACAACAGAAGTCCTGTTAGTAGTAATCTATCACACAACAGTAACACCTGTTAGTAGTCACCAATCGCACAACAGTAACACCTGTTAGTAGTTACCAGTCACACAACAGTAACGCCTGTTATGACCAGCAGCAACACCACATTAGTGACACCCGTTACCACGAGCACAACAACAGTAACACCTGTTATGACCAACAACAACAACACCACACCAATGACACTAGTTACCACGATCATAACAGTAACACCTGTTATGACCAATAGCAACACCAGACCAATAACACCCGTTACCACGAGCACGACAACAGTAATACCTGTTACGACTAACAGAACAGTAATAATAATAATAAGGGTTCTGACCAGCAGTGAGGGGTGATGGAGGCACGGATGTATCAGCCAACATGTCTTGCCTTACACCCATGTCTTGGACGAGTGTGGATGACACGAGAGAGATGTGACTGGCGGTGTGGATGAGGGCAGCCACCTCAGTCCCATGTACCTGTGTAAGGAAGAGGGAGAAGTTTGATAGTTTATATGCACCCATACACAGCTGGTGCACATTGTTGATATGGTTGCAAACCATCAGGATAATAATGAAGTAATTATAATAATGACGTTAATGAGAATGTAGATTAATAATAATAATAGCAGCAAGCATGGTAGTGGCATAGAGCAAAGAAAACGAAAAATAGATTAGAATTACATTACACAGTGTTGTTTTGTATAGAACACACACACACACACACACACACACACACACACACACACACACACACACACACACACGTATACTCGGTGGCCACTTTATTAGGTACACCCACCCTTCTAGTACTGGGTAGGGCTCTCCTCCCCCCCTTTTCCCCCAGAACAGCCTGATTTCTTCGTGGCATGGATTCAACAAGTGCTGGAAACATTCCTTGGAGATCCTGGTCCATGATGACATGATGGCATCCACAGTTGCTGCAGATTTGTTGGCTGTACAATCATGTTGTGAATCTCCCGTTCTACCACATCTCAAAAGTTTATGCCAAATTCTAACCCTACCATATGCATCTCGCAGCAGAAATCGCGATTCGTCAGACCAGGCAACGTTTTACCAGTCTTCAACAGTTCAGTTTTGGTGAGCCTGTACCCCCTGTAGCCTCAGTTTCCTGTTCTTAGCTGACAGGAGTAAACCCGGTGTGGCCTTCTGCTGCTGTCACCCATTCACTTCTAGGTTCGACATGTTGGGAGTTCAGGGATGCTCTTCTGTCTACCAATGTTGTAACGCATGGTTATTTGAGTAACTGTCATCTTCCTGTCAAGGCGTTTTCGCCCACAGAACTGCCGCTCACTTGATGTTTTGTGCATTTCATACCATTCTCTGTAAACTCTAGCAACTGTTGTGTGTGAAAATCCCAAAAGATCAGCAGTTTCTAAAATACTCAGAAGTTCCTGTCTGACATCAGCAAACATTCCATGGTCAGAGTCACTTAAATAACATTTCTTTCCCAATTTGATGTTCGGTCTGAACAACAACAGAACCTTTGATCATGTCTGCACGCTTTTAGGCAATGAGGTGCTGCCACGTAAATGGCTGATTAGATATTACCGATTAACGAGTGGTGTAGAGATACACCTAATAAACTGGACACATGAGTGAATATTTATATTGTACAGTGGGACACTGAAACATTTTTAGACAACAGAGAATTATACTAACAACAGTACAAGGAAATACAAGACAATGACAACACAAGAGAAGGAGACGAAGAGGAGAGAAGAAGGGCCACTAAAACATGGAGAGGACAGCAGTAGAGGTGTACTAACAGCAAAGGTGTTGATGTGGGTCCTTACTTCCACAGGTACAAGCGGGGGCATGTAGATGCGACTGTATGGGACCTCCTCCAGGAAGAGTGGAACTGACACCCGTGGCTCTCGTCGTCTCTCCTTCGCCACCTCCGCCAGGAATCCCTTCGGTTCATACTT